TTTCCCCATCAAAGATTTTTGCAACGACCGAAAAAGGTTAATAATCGCTTGGTGTAAGGTCAGATGAATATAGCGGGCGAAATAGAACAAACCAACCGAGTTCCCCATTTTTTTTCCTGTGTTATTCTTGTTGTATCCGTTGGCATTGAGGAGAATATTTTTCCTTTAATCTACTATCTACGCTATCGCTGCCGTGCAAGATATGTCGATGTATCCCAAATTTATTCTTAAGTGCAACGTATGACAAGTAGTTAAGATGTTAAATTCGTGATTACAACTGGGTCGTCAAAACAGAAATTTCTTATGAAATAACGTAACGGAACCGACGACCTGAGTTCACATTCTGGTCGGGTCTGTAGAGTTTAATTTCGCAAAAAAAGTACCATTGGAAAAGTATTTACTCATCTCTTCTTCCCTCCATCCAGGTCCGGCTCCAACTACTACTAGCAATCGGAGCAGTCGCTCTGGGCGCTATCAAGATGGAGGGCGCCATCATGCCACCATATCATGCGTTTAGGATCTTCCAAAGAAAAAGAAAAAATATGTGAAAATAAATAAAACGAAATAAAAAACATTATATTAAATAAAATATTCGACAGAGCTATTAATTCTTTATCAGACAGAGGGATTTGAACAGTTACAGGGTTTCAGTAACACACGAAGATTTTTAAATAACCTAAAAGATTTGCCAGATATAAATAAACTCAAAGTAGCAAGTCACGGTTTGGAGGATAAGTTAAATGTACCAAGAAAATAATGATACTAACGGATGTGATCTCTTGACTGAACTGAATATTGCAAATTCATATTTCCTGAAAATTCTAAAGTCGTTAGTTTCATAAATACTAATAAGTTAGTGAGTGCCATACCAAATCTGTGGGTTCCATTCAGAATAATGCTTACTATATGTTGAGGGGTCCACCCCTTTTTATACAAGTGAACTCACCCAGTATATACATATACTACTGCAAGAGCGAGACGAGAGTGAGACGAGAGCAAGACCGCAGAGTCGAGTCCAAAGTGATAGAGTAAAAGGTTGTAGGTAACCGGAAGAGTGAGGGGTGAGGTAACAGCGTTGTAGGAGTCACAGTGAGCGAGCACGTAGACTCAGTAAGAAGTCATACAGCGATACTTCAATACCAAAGACTGTATATATATTTTGCTACTAATCCGTATTCCTGGCACTACTAACCTGCATTATCAATTTGTATTATTACGTTAATACATTATTTTCATATATTCATTCCTGGCGTTTGTTTTTATTGGTGCCGGATTTCATCCCGGAATCCACAACACTATACTCATTAATGTGGCCACCAGAGGGAGAAGCATTAGTAAAATAAGCTTATAGAAAAAAATTAAAATTACATTTTTTGTCAATAGAAAATGTTCTTGTAAAGCAGATAGGTGTAGAAAGGTGTAGAAAGTGCCATGAAAAGGTTTGCAGATCTAAAGATTAGAAAAATGTTTTAGGTAGAATAATGGATATTTTCTTTAGCTTGTAGTAAGTTGTATGTTGTAAAACTCGTTATTCTACATTTCTAAAAATTTAAAACAATTATACATTTTAAAGGCACCGAAGTTCAGCTTTCCCAGGGTGTCAGCAACCCTAGGGCCACCATTACTTTTAGGTTGCTAATTATTTTTCCACCGAGACTGAGTTCTAAATTCCCTGAAGACTAGACAAACGCGTGAAAAAAAAGGCTGTAGTGCATAACGACCGAAAGATGATACTACCACCCGGACAAACGTTCACATTTCAAGCTGTAGTGTGATTTAAAAAAATTGTTTTAAAAATCTTTTTTTTCTTTGTTTTTGAAACTCACTAAATATAAACGGTGATAAAAAAAATGTTTCATCATGTGACATTTTAATTTATTGTCATTGTTATAAATAATGTCAAAATAATATCTTTATTTACTTATGTTGTGGTAGGATCCACCTAATTTGCATGTTGGAGTACCGACCATATAAATATGGTTGGCACCGGGAAGAGAGGGAGGTATCAAGAGATTCAACCAGAAACTCTGCCCGACTGCGACTCAGTCAACACATTCTCCAGGAACGGTCTTACCAGGAATATACAAAAGACTATACGTAAATATTGTGTACACTTTCTTGTTTCAATACATTTTGTTCTAAGTACATTTTGTGTTGCATTATTATTCCATGCATTAGTCAAGTTTCAACAACTTCCTGTCCCATAATTCACCAGGGCCGGAAGGGCGACTCATGGTGGTTTGCTCAACAAGTAGTATCTAATTGATTCGGTCATCGACATCGCCTGGGTCTAGGTAAAAACTTTCTTCTGACGTTTCCCGACCATCTCTTTCTTTGGCGTCTCTTTCTCCTTTCTTCTCAGGGTCGGCCAATCGCCTGGGGTGCCAGCATTCTGCCCTGTCATGTGTTTGGAATCTTCAGAACTAAGGCTTGTAAAAACTTACATGCGGTTGTCCATGTCTGAAAATAGATCAAATTCTTTGGCCATTTTTTCAATAGAAAATGATCTTGTAAAGAAGATCGGTATAGAAAGTGCCATGAAAAGATTTACAGATCTGAAGGCTAGAAAAAGTTGTTTTTTTTTTTTTTAGGTAGGATAACGAATGTTTTCTTTGGTTTGTATTGTTATATATTGTAATAAACTCGTTATTCTACGTTTTCAGTTTTTCTCCTTGGGAAGATTTTTAAAAATTTATTCTTGCAGGGGCCTCGAATATTCAGCTAGCCCGGAGTGCCAGCGATCCTAGGACCGGCCCTGCCTCCATCTCTATGTTAAATAGTAGTGTAGAGTTGATTCTCTAGTAGTCGGGTAACCGTGGAAAAGGAAACAGGAAAACACTGTCCTGTTGTTCTCAAGAAGTCATATCAGTGCCCAGATAATCGCTACTGGAAGGGACAGAATTATTTTTTAAAATGCCGGTAGAGCAGGCTACAGGGAGATGGGGATTATGCCTTTATTTTTGTGCGGAAGTTAAAATATCTGGGAAGTGTTTTGACTGAGGACGGTAAGTGTGACGCTGAGATACGAAAACGGATTGGGATGGCCAAGGTTGCATTTCAAAAGCTGCGAGACAGGAGGATTTCTTTGGTGACAAAGAAAGGAGTACTGAGCTGCTACGTGACATCTGTCCGCCTATACGGCAACGTATATTGGATTGTCTCCTCAAAGATGAAGAAGAGACTCGAGGCAGCGGAGATGTGGTTCTACAGAAGGATGCTAAGGATATCATGGACAGAGCGTGTGAGCAACGATGTAGTCATGGAGAGGATGAAAACAAGGAGGAAGCTTATGCTTAACATAAAGAAGAGGCAGATGAAATTTCTGGGACACGTAATGAGAAAGGAGGGCCTGGAGAATCTGATACTCACAAGTCGAATAGAGGGAAAAAGAGACAACGGAAAGTAACGCATGACATACCTGGCGAGCTTAAGTGGTCTGGGGGAGTTGGCAGAGGCACAAACGGTATTGAGAGCTATAAGAGAAAGGGGGAAGTGGAGAGCTATGATCGCCTACGTCCTGAAAGGACACGGCACATAAAAAGAAAAAAACAGCCTCACTTAGTTAACGCGGTTAGCTAATTCCGTTTTTCGTAGTGTTATCATTTCGGCCATTACACATCGAAATCATATATCGTTTATAAATAAGGTGTGGCCATGATGTATTTCATGTATTTATATCGTGTTATCTGTCACAAGGTCAGAAAAGAAAAAAAAACATGGAGTTGGTGCATTGTGTAATATCTGTCTTGAAAATTGGCATTCGGACTTCTGACTTTTTTTTATTTCCTTGAAAATTGGAATCGGTAAGAAATATGAAACAGTTTTATCCAAGACAGTAATTACAATACTCAGCACTGTTTTCTACAAAGTAACAAATGTGGGGACACCTAGTGAGGACGGAACTCTCGTTACTACAATCATAATGATTTGCAAGTCTAGCTTCTTAACAACTACGCTAAGGTAAGGATTAACCCTTTTAGCTCTACGTTCCTGAACAATTTTAACCCATCTGCCTGAGCACCTGAGTCAAAATTCGCAAATAATTTTTATTTAATGGTTCACGGTAGATATAAACATAGTTACAAGTGTTTACCCACCGTTCAACCGGTCGCTGGGCATTACGTCATTTTCCTCTACCACCGGTAAAGCGGTGGTCAGGGCTCAAAGGGTTAAGACATCATCATCATCATCATCAACAAGAAAAAGAAAAGTAACAAGGCACCACTGTTCTTCTCTAAATCCTAGGACTAAAACTAGTTTCAGGATATCGAAAATAGTTAATCATTAATGTTGTCTTTATAAATTTGTAATCATTGAAATGATTCCGTTAAAAAAAATCCTTAAGGAAAATCAAATCAAATCAAATTGGCAACGGAATACAAGAGAAGACCAATTTTTCAATCATTCCTTTTATCGATGAATGTTGTGCTACCCTCAGTGGGCCAGATAGATGGAGCAAAGACTGGGTAGCTACTGGCAGGAGCAAATTTCCCAGCGTTAGACGTCAACAAGGCGGAGGTGGTGTGATAGGACTTTCGGATGGGCTTATAGGTGCTGAAGTGGTGATCCCATGATGAGTTCCACATGGTATTAAACTGAGAGCTCGGGCATATATTGAATTTTTTTGAAGGCACACAAATGTTTTTAGGAAGATGATTTTTATACACAACAATGTTCCATCACATTCAAAGAAGAAAACTAATCGATATCTAAATAAAATGGGTTGAATTCAATTATTGAAGGGACAGGTTTGTTCTCTTGACCTGATCTGATTGATTGATAGATATTTTTTAGATTGCAGGAATCTCTCTCTTTTTCTTGGAGATAATAATGGTTTAGTGATACGTGTCATAATAATTGACCCATAGCTGGGGAGAAGAGGTAGATCCATCCCTTATCCAAGGGTTTTTGTGAATATAGCGAACACAACGAGAATTGGAAATTGGCTCTCCAATTAAAAATTCCGAGTCATTATCCATTGCACCACTCGCACATCCAAGCTTACAGCACACGCTATTCCAAAGCAGTCATCCATCTAAGTACTAACCAGGCACGATGTTGTTGCCTAACTTCGGTGAGCGTACGGGAACCGCTGTTTCAACATGTTATGGCCGTAAACTTGACCTGTTCTGATTTAAAACTTGTGAAGTATGATACACTTTGGAATGTTATTCTTGATGCTGTGCAGTCTGTTTATTTAATATTCATTGACTTAATAGAGTTACTGTTAGTTGAAATTTATAAAATCTTTCTCATAATATAGTTTTCATGAAAATAAACTTCAGAAGTTAAGTATTATTCATCTGTCTAGTATTTAAAATTATAATACAATGCTTCTATGTGTTTCTGTAATCTGGGTAAGAATGTAAAATTTGTAAGTCATAAAATTGTTGGCACATTGATCTCTGGTCCTAAATCAACTAGTAAAACACATGAGACCAATCGCTAGACCCATTGTAAAAGGAAAATCTAATGAAATGGGCAACAAAATAGATGTTAATGAGGTGGATATGGTGTGATGGGATTTTAGGATGGGCTTATAGGTGCTGAAGTGGTGTTCCCATGATGAGTTCCAGATGGTGTTAAGCTGAGAGCCTAGGTTTTTTTGTTTTTTTTAGGAAGATGATCATTTTTATACACAACAATGCTCCATCACATTCAGAGAAGAAAACTAATCAATATCTAAATAAAATGGGTTTCAAAAACACTCAATTGTTGAAGTAATTGGATTGTTATTTGACCTGATCTGATTATATATATATATATATATATATATATATGTGTGTGTGTGTGTGTGTGTGTGTCTGTGTCTGTGTGTGACACTATTTAGGGTTGCTAGAAAGAAAGAAGAAGAAAAGAAAAGGCGAGAATTAACTTTAGGTGATAAGAAGCAATCACGAACAGGACACTAGACGATGTTATTCTTTTTTTTAACAAAGAAAAGTGGAAAGATTTTATTTTCATTAGCGAAGGAAGTAAGGTTGCGCATCTGTCGCGTTTGATTTATGACGGTGCACCGAGTATGGCAATAATGAAAGTTTCAGGTTGGTCGAGTGGCCTACGAGACAGAATTCTAAAGAGATAAAAATTAATTGGGTCGCGGAAAAATGTCCGTTGGACCAACCGCAGAATTACAAAAACAAAAGACTGAGCCATTCGCTATCTACGGAGATGTCGTTTGGAAAAGGCACCTGTTTATTGTCAGGATCTGGCTATGATAGCAAAATTATTTTATCAGAACGAATAATTGGCACCAAGGTGCGATATCGCCGGATGAACACCCACTTGTTTGGCGAAGGTCCCGAGTGACGAATTCCAGGTGACATTCAGATAAAATTGAGATTAAGAGACCACACCACGGGTCGTATTGGGTTGTTGTCGAGAAGAAGAAAAAGAAAGAAAAGAAAAAGAAAAAGGAAGATAATTTTTTTTTCTTTGAGCAAGAGGTTTTTAACCGAGGCTAGTCCGGCCAAACCCACGCCGCTGAGCGCCTATTGGCTGAATGGTGGCGTGAACGTTGGGCGGAGGTAATCATGTGAAGAAGGAGGGGAGGCCTGTTGACGCCCCCTGAAGGGATTGGGTGAGATACCCATAGGAAAAAGGAAGAATCTGGAAGGACTTCTAAAAATGGTCAGCGTCCATATAAGCAGAGTCGCAACGAGTAAGTTGGCAGTTCGAAGTTGAGTGGAGTTGAGTTGAGTGGAGTTGCAGTGAGCTGAGAGCTCTGAGGATCCGCCTAGCAGGAACGCGACTGAAAGATTCCACGCAAATCACGACCTCAACTTCTAACCAAGAACAATTTATTTTTGAAGAACGACTTAGACTCACACCACCAAAACAAGTTTTACGAATATCGCCTGAAGATACACCAAGAACCAGTTTCTTAAAGAAAAAGACAACTTAAGATGTTAAGACTCGACTAACAAAATAAATAATTATATATATATATATATATATATAATTTTTTGTTGTTACAGTTATTTAAGAGCTTTGTAGCTCTACTCATAGCTGACTTTATTTATTTTGGGCTTTCTCTTATATAAAGGGCTTCAAGAATGTTTACTGTTTGCTTATTATTGTTTTTATTTAATATAGACGTATTTTCAACTAATATCCGTCTAATCTGTGAATGTGGGCATGAGTGTTCCTTTAAATGCTGAGATATTGAATTATCCTCGGCCAAATGAAATGTAAGGCTTTTTGTTAGCATCGCCGTAGTAGTAGCCAACGTACGACTTGACATTTTTCTGAGAGATATAATCTCCTAAAGGACATTTAAAATGATATACAAAGTTTGGCCTTTTGCAAGATGCTAGTTGGCGGAGAATAATTCTTTTGGACAAATAGGGTGGTTGTATTAAATGTACTATATTATATAATTAATTTCTAATGCTACTAAGTAATTAATCCGCGAACTTGAAAGGATTACAGTGAAAACTAATCAACATATTATATCTAAATTATTTAACCAAACCTGTTTGAATGGAAATATGCTTTAAATATACAATATATATATATATATATATATATATATATATATATATATATTGGAGAGGGTAGAATAGAGATCAAAGAGTTTTGAATCTGCTTGTCTAAATTGTCTTCAAGAAGCGAGAGAGCAAGATCAAAAAGGTCAGTCAATTTAACAGTGATCTCATTCCAAAATCCTCATTCTTGCTCCATATGCAGCTTCATAACTGAATCAGTTAAGTTGACTGATCCTCATACGTCGAATCTGACGGGAGAGTTCAATATATATATATATTAGAAAATTTTAATGTTTATAAATTTTCTAATGAAAATTTAAAAAATGAAAACAATTCTTGTTAAAATTTGTATATATCTATTTTTAATTTTTTAATTCTCCAAAAACTTCGCCAATCACTCGTGTCAAATGCTATCGTCAATACTGCTATTTTTTTTATGCAAGTCCAACGGGAAACATTGTACATGTTTTTTTTTTTGTTGTTGTTGTGGTGGAACCTAGGCGTTTTTGAGGTCGCGTGCATTAGCTGACAGTCAGGGGAATCCATTTTTACGAAAAGGAAATAATACAAACAGCTTTTCCAAACTGTTGCTGGTTCGGAATGCAGTTCACGCTATCATTAATGAATTATTCATAAAACTGATAAAAAAAAAAGAACCAAATAAGTATGCTTGGGCATAGCTTACATTTAATGAAGAGTTCGCGTTAAGATCTGAGCGGTTACGACGCTTTTCTGCCTAAAGAACTTCGGCTGACGGCCACTAGATGGCTTTGGTAAAGACCAGAGTTAAAGAAAAAAATAAAATAAACACACAGTCATGAATCGAAAGAGACATAATCGCCCAAGCGTGTATCACATCTAGCACGTAATTGACTGTAGATCTATGATAGGAGAAGACACATTTGGCAGCAAAACCTAGAGCTAAACACACACACACACTCACGCACGCAAGCACACACACACTCACGCACGCAAGCACACACACACACACACACACACACACACACATATATATATATATATATATATTTCATTGAATACGACAGACAAAGTGCTTTTATTTAGTTTTTCATACAATTTCTCATGCGATCTAATAATTTTTTCTTTTCAAATGATAAATAATATAAAAACTGTTTGAATGTTCTTTTCATCCGAACGCTTTCGGCTATATATTTAGCCATTTTCAAGGATTAAATATTTTAACTGTTAAATAAGAAATAGTTTGTTGCATGTATGGTTTATAACATATTTTCATTTTTCAAAACACGGTCAACATATTGTGTCCATGACGTAGTTGATATTATTAAGTGTTTTTTTTTTGTTTTTATTAATAAAGCTTCCATTATTTTTAGCCTTTTTTTGCATGTAGATGATGCTATTATATTTGTGTTATCAACAAGTATGTTACGAATAGTGTCCGGTAGGTCTCCATGAATATTTAAATGAGACCTAATTGAACTATGGTCAGAAAGGTGTAAAGTGAGTGTGCGTGTCAAACATGTTGTAGTGTGGCCTATATAATTATTTACGAATTTTGATTGGTCAGCAATACAATTCCTTAATGGGCATTTAAATTAATATATATATATATATATATATATATATATATATATATATATATATATATATATATAAGATAATAACGCTGACCGAACACTACCGCAGTTTCGACCGCCAAGGTCTTTTTCAGTGGCTTTTCAGTGAATCAATCAGAGGCAACGCAAAAACTTAAATGCTTTCATTCGACACCGGAATTAATGGGGGATGTTGTAGGAAAAATAAAATCAAAAAAAAATTAAATTGAATTAAAGTGAACCGGGGGTGGGGGGGAGAAAGTGAAAGGGAGAAAAAATTACAACTTTATCCAGGTTCGTATATCATCAAAATTAAATTCCTGATGTGTCTACATTTGGCCATGATCTCAGTGTGACGTCCCCCGGTGTCGCTGCGCCAAACGTGACGCCTGCCTGGCCGCGCCCGCCGTGCTGTCCTAGTCGCGGCGCCAATTGTGATGTCTGTCTCTGCGCCGTCGCCGTCCTATCCTGTCCCGTCACGACCAATGTGACTTGGTATTGGTCACGGCACCAAATGTGACGTTCTAACCTTTTGCTGATTCGGATGGGAATCTGGTTAGATTCGGTATCAGCCTTGGCGTTCCCAGCTCGCCTCCAACGTCTGGTTACTGAAGTAACTGTTTTGACTACTAGTCTAACCTACCCACGTTGTGATTTGATCTTAGGTAGACGAAATCAATCAGTCGCCGGGCCGAAATGCAAGCTGAGTCCGGACAAGGGTAACACCGCACAAGTATATGTAAAAGAAAATAAAGTAATAACTCGAAAAGTTCAAATGTGTTAAAAAAGGAATAACAATATTTTATATCTGGTTGCTGAATACAGGACTGCTTCTTCTTCCCAACCCGCTATATGGATTCGTGACACTTTGCGTTTGTTAGGCGAGTCTTAACATCTTAAGTTGTTTGTGCTTTAAGAAACTGGTTCTTGGTGTATCTTCAGGCTATATTCGTAAAACTTGTTTTGGTGGTGTGAGTCTAAGTCGTTCTTCAAAAATAAATTGTTCTTGGTGAGAAGTTGAGTCCACCACTTCAGGGGCGTCAACAGGTTTCCCCT